CTTTATAACAGGGGGTTTCCCTATTTAGTCATCTATTATCAAATATTACCCTAGTGGTCCTTCTTTTATGGGTACCTTTCCACAAATAGTCATTTTTTTGATCTTTTATCATGTTGGTGTTAATTTGAGAGCTAAAAGTGTAATTTCACAATGATAATATATCTTTTTTGTCATACACAATTCCAAAGGTTGTTCCGTTTGCGTCGTTCGTGAATTACAGTCGCTTTTTACGACAACTATAGTCTACAAATGTGATCTTTTGTCAGAATCCTAGCCCACAATCATAGTCATTATTTTTGTGTTATCCGCTTAACCAATATCAGAACACGTCACTAGACATAATGTTGACGTCAAATTATACTTTTAGCCTTTAAATTAACACCAACACGGCAGAAGATCAAAAAAAAGGACCATTTGTGGAAAGGTACTCTTAAAAAAAGGACTACGGGGGTAATATTTGATAATAGAGGACTAAATATGGAAACCCCCCTGTTATAAAGGACCAATTATGGAATTTACTCTTTTTAAATATATAAATATTAATATTTAATTCCTTATTAATTTTCAATTAAATTGGATTGAAAATAAAACAACTATTTTTGGGACTGAGAGAGTTAAAAAATGTGAGTAGCTACTCCGTATTACTCCCTTCATATTAAAACGTTCTTCCTGATTTTGTTTACGAGATTGACCGACTTTATTTTTTCAATTTAATTTATTTGATTGCAGGTGTAACTAAAAAATAAAATTTATATATTTAAAAAACTACTTCAAAAGTTTTACAAAATAAGAGGTGAAAAAATTAAAATATTTTATCAAATAACTAACGAAAACAGATAAAAAATAATTAAAATTTGATAACAACAACAACAACAACCCAGTTAAATTCCACAAGAGCAGGGTCTGGGGAGGGTGTGTGTACGCAGACTTTACCCCTACTCGAAAGTAGAGAGGCTGTTTCAAAAGAGACCCCCAGCTCAACGTCGAAAGTTGCATTGCTTGACTAACTGCTACTTCATTAGTTAAAGAAGCGCAGACAGTTTAGAAATCCATTTTGATTTATTCCATCACACCCCCAAAGCAAAAAAAATGGTGAAATTTGATAATGAGTAGTTAAAAAAGAGTCCTTATCAATACCTCTCCCATCTCGGTCTGGATTTCGTCTGAGTTCTTTAACAAATTCATCAATCAATTCAATCTCCGTATTTTCTCCACTCCTAAATAATTTAATTCAGCTGTTTAGGGTTCTCCGATCGAAATCAAATTCCAGAAGAATGGAGGTATCGGAACCTGAAGGGTTGGCCTCTCAACTCCCAGACGCTTCCGCCGTTAACGAGTTCATGCACAACGAGGTATCGCCTTTTTGTTTCCGTCGAAAATTCAGAATGTTTCTCCAGTATCTTTCAGTTCCTCGAACAATTATTGTTGATCGAAGTGAATTTGGCTCTGATCGCATTAGGATTTGTAGGTTTCTTTATGTTTTTTAGTGTTTGCTTGAATTATTGACGAGGTGCTGTGATTCCCCGTGGTTGATTTGGTGAATTGGCAGCCTTTTTTTAATTTTTTTTTTTGTTTTTTTGGCTTTGGTGCTTGCATGGGAACTATATGTCGGCCTTACTTCAATGGCACTTGATTATTAAGTCACTAGCATTCTAGGCACTCGCAAGCTTGATTTTTTGTGAAAGTTTTAAGCAATTTGGAAGTGATACACTGAGTTGATATGACGCTGTTCGTGTTTTCTTGTTTGTGATTATACTTTTTGCATGGAAATACTAGTTTTTTGCTCTCTAGTTTGCTGGTCAGCGTTGGCCTTTGTATGCACATTCCTGTTTTGTTTGGTTAATTTAGCTTCAGTTTCTTCAAACAGGAATTAACTAAGGGTGTGGAGTATCATGCCAGTGCTTCGACATCTGTGCCACTTGCCTCTGATAACAATAATGGTTCTACTTCGAATTTCACTAGCCATGATGATGGGAATGACTGGGATGATGATATGTGCGAGGATGATGTGGACTACTACAACAATGACGACGAGGAGGATGAGTATATGTTTGATGACGACGATGATTTTCATTATCTGAGCATGCAAGCACAGTTTGACAATGTTGAGCTTCCTGCTGGGGTAGAGGCAGCATTTCCTTGGATGGAGGAACCTACACCTACTCCTGCCACCACCACTGCTATCACTTCTTCTAGTCAACCTGCAGGTGGAGGGACCTTTATGAATGTCACATCGCTACCAGTTGGCATACAAACTGAGTGTTCTGCTTCAAGCAGTTCTACCGGACAAAGTTCCTGTGGAAAGTGTGATGAGGATAATGGAGATGGTGTTCAAGCCATAGGAAAATATCTAAAATTTAAACGTTTTGACATTGTTGGTGATTTTTCAGACCACCACTACAGCAATCTGGGATTCCAAGGGCAGCAGGTAGAAATATGTCCCCTTGTTATGCTTATCATCCATATATATCATGATTTTGTTGGTACTATTGATTAGGTTAACATCTGTTCGTATTTTTTGATAGCCACCTAAGGCCTGGTCAAAGAAAGTTCAGGATGAGTGGAAGATGTTGGAGCATGATTTACCTGGTTAGCAACCATCACCTAGTTAGAGTAGAAAAAAAGAAAGTAATAAGTGTATAACACTGATTGGTCTCGAGGGAGAGAAAAAATCCAATGATTACAATGAAAATGTGTTGTCCTCCCAAAATGACTTTTACACTTTGACTTCACATAGTCAAGTGAAAAGGGTATGGTTGAAATATGTTTAGAATTGAGCAAAATGTAGGGCGTCACATATTCTTTTCGTAAAAAAGAAATGAGAAAACTATAGAATTTATTTTGGGAAGGATGAAAAAAGAAAGTATAACGTTTGTTTATTTTGGAACAAAGGGAGTACATTTTGTTAGTATGTTGGAGCTTACAAATAACATTGTTTTTAAACGCTCTCGTACAAAATATTTGACCATTTTGTTTTATTTTAAAACTTTTTATTGTTTGGGCATTGATAAAAGTGTTTGCTTTTGCATAGGTTTTTCCCCAATAGATATGGTTTCTCCATTTAAGTTAGGGATTTCTCATAGCTTGATAGGCTTATTGTTTAGAGAAGCTACGACTTTAGATTCTCTCATAACTTATCTTTCAAGTCATGTCTAGATATGTAATTGCCTTTATGCATATTCTTTGGGGAGATGGGGGGCATGTTGAGAATTAGAAATTGGGTTATTATTTTGAACATCAAATTGAAATTATACTTATAAGTGTTCACCACTTGTGTTGATAAACTGATAAAGTCTAAAATCTACCATCTTTTGTGGTTTAGAAAAAAGTGCATATCTAGAAATGTCTAGATCACCATGTCAGGTTTTTGTTTGTCCTTTCGAGAATAGATAAATGGAATGGACCTATTCTTTATGCTCTAGCTTGAAGCTTATTTTGGTTGCTAGTTGCCTAACTAAAATCACCGCTCTCCATTCTGCAGATACCATATATGTACGAGTCTGTGAAACAAGGATGGATCTTCTCAGAGCAGTCATTGTGGGACCACAAGGAACTCCCTATCATGATGGGCTTTTTGTCTTTGATGCCCTATTCCCTCGCACGTACCCTGATACACCTCCCGTATGCATTTTGTATAAGTTTGCTTGTCCTTTGTCTTATACGGAGTATATTTTACTATTAATCAAATCTCTATTGTTGCAGATGGTCTACTATTATTCGGGTGGATTGAGACTGAATCCCAATCTGTACGAGTGTGGGAAAGTCTGCCTTAGCCTTCTGAACACTTGGACTGGCAAAGGTACTGAGAAGTGGGTGCCTGCACAATCAACCATGCTTCAAGTTCTAGTATCTATACAAGCTTTAATTCTAAATGCAAAGCCATTCTTTAACGAGCCTGGATATGAAACAAGTTATGTTGGTCGGGAGGGAGAGAGAAGATCCAATACTTACAGTGAAAATGCGTTTGTCCTCTCCTTGAAAACAATGATATATACACTTCGAAGGCCTCCAAGGGTATGTATGATTTCTATGCTCAGTAACCTTGTATTTTATTTTTGAAATTTTTATTGATCTCTTTCATTGCCTATAGTCCCATCACTTTCTCTTTGTTTCAATGTAAGGGGTTGAATGCAAATAGCTTTTTTGTCTCCATGCCTGTCTCCCCTAGTTATTCCAATCAACCAAACAATGGAATTTAGATTTTTTTATTTATTCCTCATATATCCTTCTCCAGCAACACTATATAAATCCCATTCATTTATTAACTCTCAGTTCTATTGGTTGCATTTCCCATCTTAATTGATTGTTGATCTCTGTTTCTTTATGGCATTGATTTTTCCTCTTTTTTTTTATTACTCTATTATTTTCAGCACTTTGAGGACTTAGTTGTGGGCTACTTCCAAACCCATGCTCATGACATCCTGTCAGCATGCAAAGCCTACATGGATGGTGCGATGATCGGTTCAGTAACTAAGGGAGAAATCAATGGTGACAAAGTCGATGGACCTGAACGTGCTGGCAGCTCGGAGGATTTCAAGAAAGCAATATCAAGGATGATGAATGGTCTTGTCAATAATTTCATCAAGAATGGTGCTAAGGACTGTGAAAAGTTCAGAATTACCAGCTGATTTAGAGCTTTCTTTGGGTCCTTACGAGGGAGGAATAATTTCTTTATTAGGCCTTCAATAAAAATAATCCTCGCATAAGTAATTTCTTACCATATGTAAAGCCATACTTTTATTGGGGGGGGGGGGGGGGGTTTNTTTTTTAAACTTTCTGTGTAATGCGGTTGGTTAAGGAATAATCCCTTTAAAAAGTTCTTCTGATAGAAACAAACAAACAAATGAAGTAGTGGGACTATGCAACATGATCAATTCATTAACTTTCCCAACCCATATTCCATAATAATGGTGGGAAAAAAAGAATTAGAACTTGGGTTTAGTGTTTGTGAAAGGGCATCGCTCTTTTGGCTAACCAAACCATAAACAAGAGCCCAATTTTACTTCATTCCTGATTCATTCCAAGCTCATGGTAATAGGATCGATTGGAATAGGTTGGCATCTCACGAATGAAAATGGATTAATTAAACACAGAGTCATACATAATACTCATACAAGAAACAGTGTTTAAACAATGTAAGGAAGCTACAAGGGTGAAGAGATGACGATGAAGTAATAAAAGTGCATCTCTTGATTCTCTCCGTATGTACCACATTTCCAAGCTGCTATTCGTATTTCATACTACGCTTTTTATTCATTGTATGTTTCAAGTGATATATAAAAAACCCATTATGATGATACGGAGTCGCGTAATAATTAGACCGTGTTCGGCTCCTGATTTACCAACTCCTCTGTGAACCCCCAGAAGAGTGTCCATTCAGCCTGTCCAGTATGGCATTGAAATCAACAGCCTGACCGCTCTCCTCCAATCTTTGGATTGCAGAAACTACATGATCGCCCCGGTAACCCATACCCACCATTTTCTCAACCAGTTCATTGTAGGGATGGTTGCGCATCAGCTGTGGTGGCGGTGCTACTGGACGAGCCATCACATTGGAGGTGCCAGCAGGCTGCTGAGGATAACCGCCATGTGGGACTCCCCCATCATACATTGCATATCCACTTCCCTGACCAAGTGAGGTGTGGGGCCCGCTTACTACGTAACTGTCCCCAGTTCCACCAAATGCAGGCCTCATATGCTGAGATGGGGCCTGCTGCTGAGCTGGCCTGCCATACCCATAGGGCACTCCCCCCTCGGGGCGGCTAGCAACAGAAAAAGTACTAGGAATCTCTTGCGCAGTAGGGCTCGATTGATAACTGGGATAAATGGGCTGTGATGATGGTGGTCTAGCCGGCTGCTGCTGCTGCTGCTGCTGCATAGGGGGTGGCTGCGGGACCCACTGCTGCTGGTATGAGGGCACCACCTGAGATTGAAGGGTTTGTGGTGGTGGTGGTGGTGGTGGCCTAGTGTACTGCTGAGAGTCAGATGGAAGGTATTGATTTTGATGAGGCAAGAATTGATTTGGAGGAGGTTGAGGCATATAGTACCCTTGAGAGGGAATTGGGGGCGGGGGAGGCTGGACAGGTTGTTGTTGCTGCTGCTGCTGGGGTGGCAGTGCTAGTGCAAGTTGTTTCTCATGAGCTTCAGAAGGATTACTATCACCCCTATTGATGGTATCAGAAGAAACATGGGGTTGTTGTTTGGTTCTCTCTTCATTCTCTTGAGAAGATTCTTTCTGCTGTGCAAGCTGAAGCTTGGCAAGTTCCTTCTGAGCTTCCACAAGTTCTTGTTTATCTCTAAGGATCTGAACTGACCTGTGCACCTGCAAGAAAAACACATTTATTAATATTTGAGCTCAATGGATTACTATTTTTGGCATATACTACGGGGTAAATGCTACTTTGTGCTGCTTAGCAAAGCAATTTTTATGCATAATATGAATATGTAACAAATTATGGACTGCACATACTCCTACATTTAGGTAGAGGTGAACATTAGGATTTCCTTGCATCATTGATGGTGTGTTTGCAGCCAAGAAAGGCCAAGGATAAAAAGTAGATGGGGGAATTTGTAGGGAAAGAAAACTTGAGGGAGAATGATAATACTAACAAAATTGGCTCAAACTCAATAAATAGATCTATTTTAGATGTATGATCAAACTCAAATAAATTACATATTTCAATTAATAAAATACAACAACATCAACTAGCATACTCCGAATTTTGTTGGGATCAATTATATAAATACACAGAACTATAAATATATGTTGAAATTTTCAAAATTCTAAATTCAAATTTTATCCTCCTCCCTGAGGAGTCCTTCGTATTTTTGAGGTAAAACCAAATACTTAATATAACATTTTCCTTGGCTTTAATTCCTTCATCCCCTACCAATCCGTGTTCCAAACAAAGCCTCAAGGAACTCCAGCATATTTTCAAAATTTTAATAAAGGATTCTACAACTCAATAATCATGTCAACAAAAAACAGAGCACTACAAACTGCATTTCAAATCTGTTTCCAAGATGAATTCAAATTCTGTCATAATAATAATAATAATAATAATAATAATACAGAGTATATAGATACATAAATACTCCGTAATCAAATACGGAGTATGCAGTAATGTAACTTGTACCTCTTGGAGATTCTTCTCAATAGACTTGAGCTTGGAGTTTGCTTCAACATTACTGCTCACAAGTTCAGAACGCATTTCCCCGATCGATTTATCAAGATTGTAACAATATAATTCCAACTGAGACAGCCTTGAACTAATTCCTTCAAGAAAACGCATCAGGTTGTCAGCATACTTTTTCATAGTCTTCTCAACAATGGCAGAAACATCTTGATCCATATGAGATTCTTCAGGTGGACTATAAGCAGGAGTAGGAAAAATTGACGATCTAGTCATTCGGTTTTTCTGGAACTCCTGCTAAATACAAATGCCAACATTTGATTAAATAAATCAAAGTGAAGTGGAAAGACAAACATTGAGATACGAAGTATGAAGTACTAAATACCAAAATTCAAATTCATTAGAGGTGCAAGATAAATGGCCAACCTACGGTACACAAAAACATTCGCTGCATTATGAATGATTTGAATCATTCGATATATACTTTAAACGGTTGGAATATTCAGCTCTTTTGGAGTTTTACACCCATAAATAATGCAGAATTGACTTTTCCTTTTATTCTAGGTATACTATCATTAGAAAACTGGCTTGAATCAAGCCACCACAATACTGATAAATAAGCAGATAACTGTCCTTATCCTTCCATGTTTTATTATGGGAAAAAATACTTTTTGCAGTAATATTCTGTAACAAATTACTCCATTAATTAGCAAAATCTAGCTCTCCTCCTCTTCTTGACCAACTACCCAAACTAATGCATTTGATTGACCTAGTATCAATTTCAACAAGCTGATAACACCAAGAATCCAATCAAGTTGCCATTTTTTCCAGAAAAGAGAAAAAAAATTAACTGATCAAGGAATTAAACAGTAAGATAGAAGCGAGGATATATGTTTATCATCATGAAAACATGAGCTTTAGAAATTAATTACAGTTCCTTAAATTAAAACATGAAATTTGGCATTTGATAGGTCTAGCATATATTCTCATTCTCTACACTTACGAGACGTTGATCATTGAGCAAATCCCTAAACGCAAAACAGACATCCTACCATTAATCAGTCCACAAGCTCTAAATTCCACAACTTCAATAGATGATAGATCTCAAGCACTAAATTTAGAAGCTTTACCCACTACTGAAAAAAAAACCCTAGCTAATCACGGGTTTAACCCGGCCAATTCATAGAAATCAAAACCCAAGAAATTTTCGCAGGAGAAGAAGTGAGTACCTTCGTGGAGATGGAACCAACCACAGGATCGGAGTGGTTTTCATTAGCTTTATCCTGATTACTAAAGTCGTCGTACGAGCAAAGAATATCATCCGATGCAAAATCAAACCCTTTAGATCCCGAATTGTTAGCCCGATTCGACGATCCGGAAGCCATAACTCACAAATCGATGAGCTATAAGGATTTTCCGATGAAAATTGAGTTGGGGGCAGGTATTTCCACTCTCTTTGTACGTATAAAGAAAGAGGAGGATAAGGGGGTACGGAAAAATGTTTCTTTTAGCAAACTTGTTCGCAGGGTGAAAGGAGGAGTAGGCAAAGGGAAGGTTCTTGAAATGAAAAAAAATGTTAATCAAAATTTATCCTTCAAGTTTAGTACCCATCCAAACTTCTTTTAATTATATTGTGGACTAAAACACAAGTTATTTTTCAATGTAGAACTTAAATTTTTTTAATTTTTTAAATATGACTTAATAATGTCTAGCGGAAGAAATAATGTTCAGTAATGATGGACATTTAATTGAATAATGACTAATTGATAATGACCAAAAGTACTATTTTGGGAGATAAAAACATATGGTCCTATATTGAGAAAGTCATTATCTTTTAGTCCTATTTAGATAAATTTCTCTTTAATATACTTCCTCCGTCCTAAAACTTTCTTCTCACTTCCCCTTTTTCTCCGTCCTAAAACTACCTTCCCATTAAGAAAAAAAGATGACAAATGACATTAATACTCTCATGTATTTACACCAATTATATTCTAACTCTATATTTTGAATGATTGCAAAAAAAAAATTTCAAAAAATCTTTTTTAAGGAGGGTAAAATTTGAAGTCAAAGCCAAAAATTAAAAATGGGGAAAAGTCAAACTAGAAAGAAAGAATTAGGATGGAGGGAGTAATTAAGTTTATTGAGGACTAATTCGAGATAATCCCTTATTACAAAGGACTATTTTGGGAATTTACTCTTAGATAAACTTAAAACCTTTTTTGGGGATGGAGGTAGCATTTTACACTAGTAATTAATTTTAGTATTTCAAAGTTAATTTTCATTATTTTTTGTATACACGACCTCCCACTATTTTCTTTGTTTACTTCCCAAAATGTAACATTTAAAAATAAAAGTAAAATTACATTTTACTCCAAGATGGTCTTCTTTTATTGATTACTTGGAAGTAGGAAGTAAAGACGCATGGAGTCAGTTGATGACATGTTTCTGTGTGTTTATAAGTTGACTTATAAACTGCTTATAAGCCGCAAAAAATAAGCCGAGTTTATTTACTTATTTTCAAAGTAATTTGTTTGTTTTTCCGTCTTGACCATATTATTTATAAAACTGTTCCTTATCATTTATGAATAGTGAAATTTGCGCTAAATAAGACTAAAACATAATGATTTTCCTAATCTAGAACTTAAACTTTTTTATTCCCTAAATAGGACTTATTAATGTCTTAGTGGGAGGAATAATGTCCACTAATGATGGACATTTACTTGAATAATTACTAATTCATAATGACCAAAAGTCCTACATAGGGAAATAAAAACATATGGCCATATATTGGGAAAGTCATTATGTTTTAGTCTTATTTAAGTAAATTATTCTTATAAATATTTTCATATGACTTATCTATCATTTGAATTATTTTACTTCTATGAAGGAATATTTAACTTATAAGCAACTTATAAATTAAAAACTGTTTATCAGCAATAAAGCAATATATATACAAGTAAAGAGTTCACACCCTAAGTATTGATACAAATATAGTTTTATTATAGATTTACTATATGAATTATTTTTAAAACATTGTTCTATATAGGTCAACGGTTGGAAACGATTGGCTGAAAAAAGTAAAAACTGGACAAATACTCAGGAACGGATTGAGGTAATATGTTTTACTAATACTAATGCTATTAAAATAAGGGGAATTTACTTAGATAGCACTAAAACATAATAAATTTCTCTAAATAGCACCACATGTGTTTTTCTTGAATAATTCTGCCGTGCTTTAGTGTTACATAAGTAATTTTTTCCCAAAAAAAAAACTTCAAGAAGTTATAAAGTGAAGAACATTTACACACATGCATGAAGCAACTAGCACAAGATGCAGACTTTGATTTATTCCAAGGAGTACAAGTACAAAGATCACCAATTAACCACAACCAGTACAATCCATGGCATCATGACTAAAAGTCATTTATTTGAAAACACTGCCAAAATAGATAGATATAGATACGAGTAGAAGAACATAATTAAGTAGCTAGAACGAACTGATCAGAAGAACACTTGAATCAAATCAAACTCCCATCTATCCCCAGCAGGCCATGCCACAACGTAACCTAACATGATCGACGACTACTTCTTCTTCTTGTTACTCACCAAGTTACGCGCAAACGCAGTGAGTGCCTCTTCATTGGTGAGAGCCTTTGCCGAGGGACCCGAAACGGGGTCGCCGAGCATCTCATTGGCGAACCTTCCCAGTTTGTCAAGGTAGTCCCCGGCGGAGTCGTCCACCAGACACTCGTCGTACTTCATGCCCTGGTACTGGATCCTCAGGTAGTTGTCGGGGCAGGACGCGCCCTGGAGGACCATGTCCGCGTACACGTCCAGCATCTCGTCGCCCGCCCCCATGAACACGTCCGTGATGCGCGGCGTCTTCTGCGGGATCAGCAGCCACTTCATCACCCCCCAGCTGCTCGCGTCCCCGATCCTGTCCATGTGGTCCCCCCTGCACGATCCTGTCCCCAGCGACAGGATCATGAAGCTCTCCGGCTTCAGGGGCACTTTATATGCCCTCGCCGCTTCCCGTATCGCCAGCAGCACCTAAATCATCATGCATGCATGTTTCAAGAAAACGGATAATAATAGTTATTAATTCAAACAAAAGTTCAAGCTTGTACGTACGGGATTGTTGGCTGCAACGCCTCCGTCGACGAGGTTGAACTCTTCAATCCCTTCAGAGGACTGCAGCTCGAAGCTGTGGGGAGGGAAGTAAACCGGCGCCGCAGACGACGAGATGCACACATCTGAGAGCTTCGGGTTCTTCGACGCGTCCCGTCTCGCCTGGAGAGAGGAGAAGACGACGGTTTTCAAACGGCGGACGTCGTAGGCAGGGATGACGACGTTAGTGAGGGTCTGGTTGAGCTTGGTGTCTTTGACCATGCTCCTGATCTTCTGGTGCAGGTATGCCCCGTCGTACATGGGGCGGAACCCCATCTTCACCACGAAATCAATCACCCACTTCGCCGCAGAACCCAGCCTCTTGAACCAACTCCACATATCTGACACACTAAACCTGTCAACATACATATATTAGTGCAAGAATTTCTTAAGTTTTAGTGTAATTTAGTACAAATATTTTTTTTAATTATATATTCATTATATACTTACAGTTGCACTTGATCAGGCATTCCTGGAACTAGTGCGGGAGGGTTAGGCTGTTGCTTGTAAAAGGGAGGGATGTCTGCTTCGGAGAACTCGGGCAGCTGCACAAGGCCGCCGCCGCCGGTGCTGTTCCCGGCATCGGGAGAAATTGTGGCTAGCATGGCTAGACCGGGGAACGGGGGCATGCCTGATTTCTTGAAGATACGGGGAGACTCGTCCTTGTAGAACTGAGGTATCTCGGCGGCGGAGAAGCAGGGGCGGCCGTCGTCGCCCGGGGCGGTGAGCATGGCGGCGACGAGGCTGCCGGTGCTGGTCCCGGCCACGATGTCGAAGTAGTCGGCGATCCTGGCGTTGGGTCCCTCGAGTTCTTGGAGGTGAGATTCGAGGGAGTGGAGGATGGTGGCGGGGATGATCCCCCTGACGCCGCCGCCGTCGATGGCCAGGATGGTTATCACCTTTCCCTTTGGCTCTTCACTCATCTTGCCTTTGCCTTGCCTCTCTCTAGTAGTAGTAGTAGTGTTGTACGATATATGATATGGTTGTCTTTGTCTATTTGTTCTTCCACCTCTCTATGTATTTATACTCCCTAATAAGGTAAGGCTACTCGACACTTGGGCTTTAAAAGAAAAAATGTTAGATTCATCAATAAAATCATCACAAAATCAACATTAGTGAAGTTCAATAAAGAAATAAAAAAAGTCATTAATAATGTTTTAAAAAGAATTTAAATCATTAATGATCAGTTTGTGAAATTTGTGATAATTTTGTTTGTAAACGCAATATTTCTATAAAAAACACTCTTCACTAAATGCACTTAAACCGTTCATTGATTAGACCACGTATGTTATGACGAGGCCTGATGTTGTGCCACGTAAGGTAGAAGAAGACAATGAGAGCCATCACATTGTGTGCATGCTTCCATAATGTATGCTTTTTTTGGGAGGTTCACCATATCGACAAAAAATACTCCGATCCGCATTTACTTTCACTTGAAAATGTGTTAAATTAAAGAACCAATTTGATCAACCAAAAGTTTACACTTCTTGTTCTAACATCAAAAAAGTTTTTAAAACTACAAAACACTCTTCACGTAATGGACATTTTAGGAATTTAGTCATAATTTTATGTATCACAACTCATGAATAGGTAAAGGAATCCTTTTAGGTCACGTTATTCCACTTGCGGAGTATTTCACATGCGTAATAGGAAGGGTTTAATTTGGATGTGCATGTCACATGTACAAGTTTCATGTGCCACCCACTTCTACAAAAAAATAAATTCACATATTTACTGTGTTAATTAATTGTTACCATATATGCACCCACTCAACACAGCTTTTCCATGTGTTTCACCCATTCTCATTCACTTTTTGCATGCCCTGACTGTTTTTATTCTGTACGGATTTGCCCCTTTTTTCTTGTCTTATCTCATTACATCACACATGCGCCATATTGATTCTCGTTTTTCACGGGCTCCCTGTTTTTTTGTCAAGAGTACTATTTAATTGAATATTCCCTATATCTCAAGATCAAAACAAATCACACACTGTCTAATACTCCATCCGTCCCAAATTATTGCCACATTTGTATTTCCGAGACAAAATATTAGGTTTTTTCAATTAATTTTATTTACATATTGATATAAAAATAAAAAATAAAATTTACATATAAAAAAACTACATGAAAAGTTCTTCGAAATAAGAAGTGTTAAGAATATTTTATTTTATCAAATAACCAATGAAAAGGTCGAAATAAACAAAAGTTCCCGCGAGTACTGAAAAAGCAAATGCTGTGAATATTTAGGGACGGAGGGAGTATTCCCTACCATAAATAATTTTCTACAATTTAATCATTCCTTATTTTAGTCTTTGGTCAAATTAGGAAGTGTTTTTCCAAACGGAGAGTGTAAAAGATAATACTCCCTCCGTTTGGAAAAAGTGTTCCTCTTTTGACTTTGTGTAAAAATAAGGAAGTATTAAATTGTAGTTGACTTTCCAATTTTGCCCTTAATGTGATTGGTAAAAGTAAGATGTGATGGATAGATTATTAGAGATAAAGTATAATGTGATATGTAGGATATGAAAAAGTAAGGGTAAAAGTGGGTTTTTAATAGAAAGAGGAAGTGTTTTGTTGGAAGTGAAAAAAATGAAAGAGGAAGTGTTTTTGAGAACGGAGGGAATACTCTGTATGATTATATTATTTTAACAAATGATTGATAAAATACATAAATAAAAAAAATTTGTGATTTTAGAATAGAAGAAGCTGAGTTTGCCAATCATTTTTTAATTAAAAGCTAATATAATCAACCAATGAAAGTTGCCAACTCAATCAACCATTCAAATCGCACAACCCAAGCAGCTAAATATAAATAGTCTCTTCCAAACAAGGCCATTATCCGTGCCAGAGAACTACGATAGAGAAAGTACTAAGTATATAAAGACCATTCTAAGAATTTGTTTTACACTTTATGCAAAATGTAGTGAAACATAAATTTATAAAATTCATTATATATAGAGATTGACATAAAAATTGAAAACAAAATTCACATATTTAAAAACAAAATCAAAAGTTTAACAAAACAAGAAGTGACGAGAATAATTTTTTTTTATCAAATACTCCGTAATCAACCAAAACGTACAAATAAATAAAGTTTTCAATTACTTTTGAATATTGAACACTTTAATGCTTCTTTGGATGGGGGAATATTATATAGAAATATTTGCACTAAATAATTACAGAGTATTTACAAAAGATGGAAATAATAATAAAGCATATAATAATACGGAGTAATAGACAAGAATCTGGCCCATCAAACCAAAACAATAAGTTAGTTAGGCCAGCCCAAATAATATTGAGGTAGAAAACTAGAATATACTCGACCCAAAAACTAATTTAAAATGAGCCGGACTATAATAGTAGTCCAAGAAAGAAGAAACTGGGTTAAGGCCGAGTCTAACCCAACTCAAGGTAGTAACTCAATGCAATTAAATGGCCGAGTGAGGTCACACTTAGACTCTGTTTGGAAAATCACTTTTGGGTTTGTTTTTAGTTTCTTTGATTGACTTTAGTTATTTTGACTAGTTAAACTGCTAAAATCATCATTTGGAAAATGAATTTTTCACTTGGTTGCTCAGCCTGAAAATACAAAATTTGAAAAGCTAAATAGAGTAGCTTTTGGACTTGGCTACTAGAAAAAATTAATTTTTCATCATTTTTCTTGATAAATATTTTTCAAATATTTAATTAAATAAGAATAAGAAACAAAACTGAAAATTAAAAAAAATTAGGAAATAAAAAATAAAATAGATGAGAAACTAATAAATCATAACTAAAAAAATAAATAGAAAAAAAAAATAAAATTAAAAAAATAATTTAATAAAATAAAAATGTTTAAATATGTTTCTTGTGCTTGTAAAACTAATGAGTTTTATTTTTGGTTTTTCTTAAATTTTTTAAATCAAATCATCTCTGTAAAACTTTTTTTTTTCAAATAATCCTTCTCAACTACAAACATGAAGTATATATTTTGATCTCTTGAAAGTTATAAATTTTTCTTCTAGTCCCTTTAAAATTCATTTGGTTTACTAATTCCAATTTTAAATTATAAAATACTCCATGCAAGATTAATTTATTCTCTATATTTAAATTAATTTATTAAATTACAAGGTCAAAGTAAAAGATTTTTTTTAAAAACACAAATCTAATACGGAGTACTCAATTTGATTTGATGAAAAAATTTGGTTCTTTTGTGACTTATACATATGAATGTATATAATTGTTTTATTTTTTAAATCTTAAAACAATTTTTTTTCAAATTTTAAAACAATTAACTGCAAATAGCTAATTTTTATGAAATATTTTTTTTAAACAACCAACACATGCATCCAGCTAGTCAAATAAGTTTAGGTAGTGTTTGGCAACTAGGATTTCATTTCAATTCATGTATTTCAGTTCCAAAATTTGAAATCTTGAATTTCAAATGACAAGGGGAGGCGCAAAGATTTAAAATTAAGTTTTGTTATGAATGAGAAGAATTTGATTCAAATTTAAATTTAAAATTGGCAAGTTTCCCAAACGTGGAATTTGAGCCAAATCTGGATTTGAAATCCAAATCCATATTCCCAAACATACCATTAACTCATTTGTCATTCAGAACAGTCGACACACACATGGCCTTAGATAGTCAAAGAGAACAATGCATAAATTTTGAAAGATTAAGAATTGATCGATCCGGGGGGTTAGGGGTGACAGAAATCATTAATTTTACGAACGAAGCACCGTAAGTGTCCCAAAACCACTGGTGTCATTTTTGTTGGTGAGACATTACATTTTTGCATATATATATATATATATATATATATATATATATATATATCCCTCTAAAGAACCAACCTTTCCATTTATCTTATTGGAGTAGTAGTTAATTTTTCATTAATTAGAGTTGAGATGAGACAACTTACATTTTTGTTCTTTTGTTGGAAGTTAATAATGAATTGAAAGTGCTCCAAAAAAAAAAGATATGAAGTCAAGAACATGTAGACATACACATGAAGGAACACATGCATTAATTAACACAAGATGCCGACTTTGATTTATTTCGAGCTAGTACACAGATTAAAGATCACCAACAATCCAGTACATAATAACATTATTCATATATTGACTAGTACGTAGTAGGTACACACTAATAATGCATGTGGTTGCCATGTGCATGCATGCAGAGTCCATGCATGCATGGCCTCACGAAAAGTCAATTATTTGAAAACACTCCAAAATACATTATTTATTGATCGAACACACATATAAGTAGGACGTGGGTAGGGTAGGTAGATCTGATTGATCCAGATGTGGAACCCTTACAATCAAATCAAACTCGTTCCCACACAACATTTGACGACGTACTACTACTTCTTCTTCTTGTTACCGACCAAGTTACGCGCAAACACAGCGAGAGCCTCGTCATTGCTGAGAGCTTTTGCGGAGGGACCCGAAACGGGGTCGCCGAGCATCTCATTGGCGAACCCTTGCAGTTTGTCAAGGTAGTCCCCGGTGGAGTCGTCCACGAGACACTCGTCGTACTTCATGCCCTCGTACTGGATCCTCAGGTAGTTGTCCGGGCAAGCCGCGCCCTGGAGGACCATGTCCGTGTACACGTCCACCATCTCGTCGCTCGCCCCCATGAACACGTCCGTGATGCGCGGCGTCCCCTGCGGGATCAGCAGCCACTTCATCGCCCCCCAGCTGCTCGGATCCCCGATCCTGTCCATGTCATCCCCTCTGCATGATCCTGTCCCCAGCGACAGGATCATGAAGCTCTCCGGCTTCAAGGGCACTTTATATGCCCTCACCGCTTCTCGAATTGCCAGCAACACCTAAATCGTGCCCATGCATGTATATTTTTTTATTTTTCTATTGCAGTATCCTTAGCTTGTTTAATGTCCACTACCGGTCATTGTTCAAATAAATGTCTAACGTCACTGGACATTGTTCAAATAACTAAATGGTGGCTAGCTAGACATTGTTCCCACCACTAGACATTATTTAAGTAGTACTCCGTATTTAGAAAATAAAAAAAATCAGGTACTACATAGGGAATGAAAGAACGTAACATAGGGGGTTATTTTAGTACGGAGTATTATTTATATTAGTGTAAATTTCACTATAATTAATTCGAACAAAAAGTTGAAGCTTGTGTAAATGTTGGTACGTACAGGATTGTTGGCTGCGACGCCTCCGTCGACGAGGTTGAACTCTTCAATCCCTTGAGAGGATTGCAGCTTGAAGCTATGGGGAGGGAAGAAAATAGGGGCTGCAGAAGACGAAATGCACACATCTGAGAGTTTCGGATTCTTCGACGCGTCCCTTCTTGCCTGATGACGACGACGACGTTGAACATTCATTAACTAATGCTAATTATAACATCTTTTGATGATGAGCGTCGTTATTATTACAAAACTAATTCAAGAAGACAGAGATCCGTCGATTATATTGCATAGAAGCTGCTAGCTAGCTACTATATATACGTACGTACGTACGTACCTGGAGAGAGGAAAAGACGACGGTTTTCAAACGGTGAACGTCGTAGGCAGGGATGACGATGTTGGTGAGCGTGTGGTTGAGCTTAGTGTCTCTAAGGATGCTTTTGATCTTGTCGTGCAGGTAAGCCCCGTCGTACACGGGGCGGAACCCCATTTGCACCACGAAATCAATCACCCACTTCGCTGCAGAGCCCAATCTCTTGAACCAATCCCACAAATCAGACATACTATACCTGTAACATACACATAAAGGATTGTGTAAGGATTGTGTAGGTAAATTGTGTAGGATTGTGTAAAGGATGTGTATGTTCAGGGAATTAATCAGACATACTATACCTGTAACATACACATTAACCTAGAAACGGGCTAATAGCTCATTAGTGAAAGGATTGTGTAAGTTCAGGGATTTTTGTGAAAGGATTTGAAGTTCAGGTACCACTTCGAAATTCCAGCTAAAGTTCAGGTACCATTTGTGAAATTTACCCTAAATAGCATCATATGTTTTTATATCTCAATGCAGCACTTTCAGTCATCACTAGTCATTATTCAAGTAAATGCTCACCATTACTGAACGTTATTCCTCCTTCTAGACATTATATATTATGTGTTATTTAGGAAATAAAAAGGTTTAAGTCTTACATAGGAAAATGACTTATGCTTTAGTGCTATTTAGTGCAAATATTTCAACCCGTGCTCGCGTAATTTTAACTATAATGTAAATTCAATAATACATGTAATAAAGAGATCAGATGGATTTACAGTTGGACTTGATCAGGCGGCATTCCTTGGAGTAGGGCGGCAGGGTTAGGCTGTTGCTTGTAAAAAGGAGGGATATCTGCTTCGGAGAACTCAGGCAGCTGCTGCGCAAGGCCGCCGCCGCCGCCCGCAGCCGGAGTAGTAGTTGTGGCCAGCATGGGGAATGGGGGAATGGCCGGTTTCTTGAAGATATGGGGAGACTCCTTCTTGTAGAAGGGAGGGATCTCCGACGCGGTGAAGCAGGGGCGGCCGTCGTCACCGGGGGCGGTGAGCATGGCGGCGATGAGGCTACCGGTGCTGGTCCCGGCCACGATGTCGAAGTAGTCGGCGATCCTGGCGTTGGGTCCCTCGAGTTCTTGGAGGTGAGATTCGAGGGAGTGGAGGATGGTGGCGGGGATGATTCCCCTCACGCCGCCGCCGTCGATGGCCAGGATGGTTATCACCTTTCCCTTTGGCTCTTCACTCATCTTGCCTTTGCCTTGCCTGTATGTAAGATATGTGAATGGCTTATTTGCTCTTCCACCTCTCTGTCTATTTATAATTAATAAGGTAGCTAGGGTAAAGCTACTCGGATCCACACTAGACTTAAATCTTTGCAAATAGTAAATTCGATAATTGGTCTCTTTATAACAGGAGTGTTTCTCTATTTAGTTCTCTATTATCAAATATTACTCCAGTGGTCCTTCTTTTATGAATATCTTTCTACAAATAGTCCTTTTTTTGATCTTCTATCATGCTGGTGTTAATTTGAGAGCTAAAAGTGCAATTTCATAATGATAATATATCTTTTTTGTCATTCACAATTCCAAAGGCTGTTCCGTTTGCGTCGTTTGTGAATTACAGTCGCTTTCTACTACAACCCTAGTCTACAAATATGGTTTTTCGTCAGAATCCTAGCCCATAATCATAGTCATTATTTTTGTGTTATCCGCTTAACCAATATCAGAACATGTCGCTAGACATAATGTTGATGTCAAATTATATTTTTAGCTTTTAAATTAACACCAACACGGCAGAAGATCAAAAAAAGAACCATTTGTAGAAAGGTATCCTTAAAAAAAGGACTACGATGGTAATATTTGATAATAGAAGACTAAATATGGAAACCCCCCCTGTTATAAAGGACCAATTATGGAATTTACTCGATTGGAAAATTGGGACTCATACCTCTTCTATTTTCAAAACTTATTTTTTTAAGTCTTTGTAGTTTCAAAACGTTACATCCACACCCCTTCTGATCATTTTTTTGATCATTTTCCGGCGAAGAGGGGCATTGGCACATAATTTCTAAACCACAGGGGGCATTCGTGCTCATTTCTTATTTTTTGTTTATTATTTGTGTTTTCCCTTTTTTAAAATATTTTCCATCTCTTTTTCCTTTTCCTAGAACTTTTTTTAAAATTTATTTTCAATTTTTTATAATGTTTTAAAAATTTTAAAATTCTTTGTGTTTGAAATAAAAAAAAAATTAACATACATTACATCTATCTCAAATTAAACATTTTCACTTTTTGTTACTTACAATAATTTTTAGGAAATTTCAAAAAGAAAAAGAAAACCCATAATAAAAAAATTATTATATGGAAAAAACGAAATGAAAGAATTAAATTGTGCAAAAAAAGTCTTATACAAAAAAAAATTTGGACACGCCTAAAAAAGTTCTTAGAATTGAGATGTCCAAAAAGGATATTTGTTTTTCTTTTTGTATTATTTTGTTTCTTATTTTATTCCTCATTTTTTTGAAGTTCTCAAAAAAAATTATTTTTTTTAGAAAAAATAAAAATTGTTAATTTGAGACGTAGAGATGCATTATATGTAAATTTTTTCAAACAAAAAAAATTAAATTTTAAGAATATTATAAAAATAATTATTTAATTTTTAAAAAAACCTTTATTAATAAATGAAACAAATAAAGGAAAAAATGAAAAAAAATAAGCGAGAAATAAAAATCAACACTAATACCCCCTATGGTTTAGAAAATATACACCAATGCCCCCTTCTTCGTCAGAAAATAGCCGGAAAATGATCTGAGGGGGCACGGGTGCAACATTTGAAAAACAGATGGGGTATTGGTGCCTATTTTGCAAACTACGGGGGTACTGACGCTATTTGCCATTATTTATATTAGGCCATCCATGTATGTTATGGCGGGGCTTTAGGGGGGTTTGATGGGGTGACACGTAGGTTGTGGGTAAAATGTAGTGTTATAGGGTTTGAAAAAGGGATTTGCTCACAGCCAAGCGATGAGGTAAATGTGTAAATAACTTTGATTGATTGAAATAAATGTGTGTTGAATATATATACGGAGTAATTTTGATTGATATAGTTGAAAATAAAAAGGCAACAAAAGACTATGATGCCCATCACATTCCGCGCAGGGGTCAAGCCTCGTCACGTCTCAACCTCATAGAGGTGTGATGGACACAGTCAAACTAACCTTCTTCGTGCCTTCATAACACATGTGTTCTCTTATGGGAGGCTCACCATACCGAGAAAAGGTAGTCTGATCCAAAGTTCCTTTCACTTGAAAATATGTTCCTGAATCAACTCGGTCAACCAAAAACTTGGTTATTGTAACATTAAGAAAGATTTTTAAATTGCAACATGCCCCTCACGTATAGTTGTGATTTACACCTTAATTTTGAGTATTATATTGGACATGAAACTTTTTTTTAAAAAAAAATTGAGAGACCGAGTTTTCAACCCTAATTTTTGGTTAATATAACTCTAAATTATGTCAATGAACCTACTTTACGGAAACTCAAACATGTGATGGCAGCACATATATGAAAGATACGGAGTACTCCCTCCGTCCAAAAAAGAACTTCCCACTTTCCTTTTTCATCCGTCCACAAAAAAACTTCCCATTTCTAAATTTAGTAAGGAATTGAAGGGTAAAGGTCAATTATACCCCTCCCTCTCATTCATCGTCATTATCCCCATTTACTCTACGCCACCCACCTATTATCTACCTCTACTTCTTTGCCATTTACTCCTTCACGCCATCCTCTTCCACAAACCTCTTAGATCTAGGGTTTTCCTCCTCTCTTTCGTCTCTATTCCTCCTCTCTGATACCTTNTCCATGGATTCCGAAGATCTGCGCTACCTTTCTGTAATTGAAGAGACTGTGGATGAAATCAACCCTGAGGAGACCGTCGATGATGAAAAATCCTTTTCCGCGTATGGCGATTTGGTGATTGAGCAACTTCATCCTCTTGAAGAAGGTATTCCGGAGGTTGTCCCTGATTCAGAGGAAGAGGATGAGCCCGCTGAGCCCTCTCCAGTGTCAAGCTTTGTGTGCGCAAGAAAGCACACTTGTAACAACATCTTAAAGCTTATGTTCCCGGGCTGGGATACACCCAAGTAGGGATAAACCGTACTCTCTCTTCTCTACTTTAAGCACACTTTAAATTATGTTTACCTTCTCTAGAGCATGCTATGATGATGGTTAGTATTCTGCCTTACCATGATGGCATTTGGCTATGATGTGCTCAAGTATTCTGCCTTACTGTTTTTCGCAGCCATTACCTTCTGTGTGGGCTATGTGTGTGTCCAAATCTGATTCCTAAATAACACTGAGCATGCTATGATGGTACTTGGTTATATCCCTTACTTTGTGTGTGCCCTGGCTTGTGTTTGTGCTATGTGTGTGCACATATCACGCCCAAACCCACTAAAGGGTAATATGAGAAAGTCAAGGACAATTTCAGATTTTCTTAAAGTGCGTGCCGGGTCAAACCGGGAAGTTCTTTTTTGGACGGAGGGAGTATTTATTTTTTAACAACCAAGTTTGACTGTACTTTCATAAATATCACTAGTATTCGTGTTTTCAAAATATATTTGTACTACCTCTGTTTGGAAATGATTTTCTCATTTGATTTTTCTTAATCAAAGTTTGTAAACTTTCCTTATTCCCTTATTTTTGTTAGTTATTTCATAAAATAATATAGTCATATTGCCACTAGTTTGTAGATGTTTTGATGTATTTTTTAAATATATATTTTATTATTTTTTAATTCTACGATGTTTTTTATATAAAATGATTTGAAAATAACATCAATCAAACATCGTAAAGCGAAGCAGAGAATTTAAATTGGGACAGTGGGAGTTATATTTAGATATAAATGCAATATCACTAGTTTTTTTTATAAAATATAATTTTGAAATATTAAATTTAAATAAAATATACTCCCTCCGTCCCATTGTATTTGTCAAGTTTGACTTTTTAGAGTCAAACTGGACAAACTTTGAGCTCTAATTAAATAAAAACCGTAATATATTACTCCGTATAACGTAAAAATGACTTTACTGGATTCATTGTATTGAGAATTTTCAAAATTGTATTTCATTATGCTAATATTCAATATAAATTGAGAGTAATTGAAGTTCAAAGTTTGTCCAGTTTAACTCGAAAAAGTCAAACTGAACAAATACATGGAGGTACTACATAAATCTAGATATGATCAAATCAAAAAGTTATTTCCATGGTTTAAAGTGGGTCGGGTGAGCGGATATCTGTTGGGTCGATCATCATTTCCACTCTCCTCTCTCCCACGGGCCATTGCTATCCTACTCTGCTACCTTCGACCTTCTTCAACACGGTGCAACTAGGTATGTAAGCATCTTTTCCCCCCATTGTTCCCTTTTAGATCTAGGGTTTGTATACATTTCTCCGCTGCTTCCCCGTCCCCTTATTTCTCATTTTCCTCTCAATTCATACACGCCACATTCCAATGAATCTCAGAATTTAATCTTTCTTTTTTGCAATGCATTATTTTCGAAAAATAGTTTCACTATTTTGGAGAAATCTTGTAGAGAACCACCTTAACAATTTGGGATTTTGCAAATAACGCACTTATTCTCATTTTCCATGAAGAACCACCTAAAAGAACTGGTATTCTGCACCTCTTTCGGCTAATCTATACAGTCTAGGTTCGCTGTGAACTTCCCAGAGCTGGTTACCTTGCAGCTTTGGACCAATTGCACTTGCAGCATTTGTTAATTTTTTAGTGTAATTGGATTAATTTGTTGATCAAATGGAGTAAAATTACTTATCAAACAAGTCAGGAGGTGCGGGGTGCACACTTGTACGTTCAATACAAAGGGGTTTTGGATTTTTAAAACAAGTTTGAGTTTTATCCAATTGATTTTGGATTGAACGCCCAAATAATGAATCTAAAAGTGTTATCGCGACTCTCAGATAAATCCTTGTGTTATCTGATTTCCCAACAGCATTAATACCGGTTAGTTCCCCCAATATTCCCAAGCAGCGCCGCTCTGCTTTCGAGAATCTAGTGCCATCTTCAAGGGCATTTGGGACTGAAATCAGCACCTTTTTTCATGTTGATTGGTAAAATAGGGAATAGGAGAAAGAGAAAGGGAGATTTAGCTGGTGGCAGCAGAGAAGGAGACAATGATAAGGGTATAAGGATGAAGGGTGAAATGGGAACTTCATAATTTTAAATAGATATTGAGAAAATGTCTAAGTAGTTCTCTTAACAAAGTAACAAACATAAGAATTTCAAAAAGATATTGAGAAAATGTTTCATATTCAGATATTCTAGAATTTATTTTCCATAAAATATTTTTTGGATTCCCAAAAGGTGCTAGATGTTAAGTCGTTACGAAGTTGTGCAGAATGGTTGATATTATGCTTGCAAATGATCTTTGTTATCTCGTTACTTCTCATGGACTCCTACAATCTACTCTTGGAGTCATAAGTTGATTGTATAAACTGTTCCGATCCGAGCCATTGTAATTTGGGGCATTGAGAGATAATGATGAACTTTTTTCCCAGGTTTCGGAAAGAATGAATTCACAAAAGGTAAAACCACTTGTAGCATTAGATGGTACAGCCAAAGAAGGTGGCATTGGACCAGCCATCGGTTTGGTTGACATAGGCGAGAGCGAGTGTGCTTACCTTTTCCAAGTTTCTCTTCCCGGCGTTAGGGATAAAGGTCAGCTCTTCTTTCTCTTCTTCTTCTTCTTCTTCTTCACAGTTCTTGTTCATGCAATACCACTTAATGTTTAAGCTTCTTCTGCAACACTTGCATGTATTTTGTTCGACATCAAAGATGAAAAAATTAGAGCTAACATGTAATGTATCATCTGATCCAGGTAACTTAAAATGTGATATACAGAGAGATGGCAAGGTGCACATAGAGGGTGTGGTCACAGAGTCTCGGCTATTGAGGGACTCGCCCACAGTGTATCAAGTGAATGTTCAAGAGCTTTGCCCGCCAGGACCGTTCACTTTATCATTCAGTTTGCCCGGACCGGTGGACCCCAGGCTGTGCTCCCCAACATTCAGGCAAGATGGTATCCTGGAGGTCGTCGTAGTGAAGTTTGGGTTGCCTCGCCTGAAAGGCGAAGGAGGCTTGTCTGTGAATTGGTCAAATGGTTGGTTTCATCCATCTTCTTAACTCTCATGATAGGTTGTGGTCGGTCACCTTTCTTCTTCCTATTCTTCTTTTTTCTTGGCATGTAACCGAACCTTTTGGGGTTAGCATTTTGTTGTTTTGTTGTGAGGACAGTAAAAGTTTAGAGTTTTGATGTCCAATGACAACCCACGTGCTGAATTAAATGCCATGATTTTACATATTTGGCCCCATTCTTGCGTTTGATTTTTATAAAATTTGAATTCCGGATATCCAAAAATGTAATAATCTGCATTTTGTTCCATGTCCAATCTTGCATTTTGGGTATCTGATCTGAAATATACAAGAGCTAAAACACCGGATTGCATACCCATTTTTTGAACCGAATTGGCCTGAATTGTGGACAAATTGTTTGGATAAAAGTTTTTCGAACAGCCCTACACTAGATGACCTTGATGGCTCTGGTCGACGAATTGTGTCATCTGATTTTTTTGGACAGGGCAGAGGCCGGCTTTGGTCACAGGACGAGCACGGGTCTAACGTCCCACCCCTATTTTTTTTTGAAAGAACAACAATTATTCTTTGTGCTTTTTAAAATGGACAATTTCAAGGGTAGCCCATGCAGTGTAGCTCATTTGTACACTGAAGCATTCTCAGACACACATTGACACTCAGCGCACTAACATTGAATGTCTGTGTGTGTGTGTGTGAATGCTTTGGTATACAAATGAGGTACACCATTTGGAGTACCCCTAACATTCTACTTAAAAAATAACATGAGAGTGAACATTTAGTCTAAAATAAAGCTAGGAGAGCACCAAAATGGTGTACCCCATTTGTACATTAGGCAAACACAGACACTAAGTGTCTGTGATCACAGACACTTAGTGTCTGTGTTTGCCTAATGTACCGTATTGGTGTACCCCTAACATGACCCATTAACTAAATAAGCTTGAGCAACCAAAGAATGGCATCTACGTTCACCTCACCTTGTTACACGACATGAACATTATGAATACATGTTTTGTAAGAAGTGTGGAGAAACGCATTTTGAATTCTTGACCCTAGCATTGTCCTAATTTATCACGTTAATATAAAAAAATGTCAAAAAGAGAAATGCAATTGTGATCTCTGTAATACTGGGAGATAAATGTTAGGACATAAATATAGAAAGCATTGTGTTCTAAGAGTCCAAATACAGTATCACGCCCTAATTTACAGCATCATCTGTCCATATATGTCTAATCTATCTTCTTGTTCATTCATAATACCAATACCAGCCATCTCCCTACTACAAAATGTGGTGGTTATGGTTCGTATTTCATAACAACAGCTTCAAAAATGCCATCTGATCTGAAGTTGGGTGAGAATAACCTTGGATCAACTGGTCCGGGTAGACTAAAAAACAGAGTGAAAGCGCCAGGCGGGCAATGCTCTTGAAATTTCATTTGAAACACCCGTGAATACCTTGACACAACTTTTTCGCCGGTTGATGTTACCCCACGGATATGAACCTTTCCATCACGTTCAATCTCACACTTGAATTCACCTGATGCCAAGAATCACAAGATTGTTTTAGAAAACTTAATCTATCGTCATCATCAATCAGTATAATCAATCATCCCAACAAAACCATGAACTCATTTGGGATCACTTTTGAAATGAGACACATTTCCAAAAATCACTATTTTAGTGTTTTTGGTTGAAGAAAAATGCTCGAACTCTATAAAAGAGCTCAAAGCAGATTATTCTCAATACTTTTTCTCCGAATGCATTCATTCTTAATACTATTTTATTTCAATAAATATGAAAAATTGTTGTTTTTGAAACTCAGTCCAGAATGTTTGCGCTTTTGAACAACTAAAAGCCCTTTTGAGCATGTGCGAGAAAACCATCCCAACAGGCTCTAAAGCAGGCTTGACGTTTCTCTTAGAATAAGTATGCGAGTGTGTTGTACAAGAAGATATTCTGCTTGCTTTATCATACTGTACAATGGGTTTGTGGTTTAGTGCTTCATGGGGGTTTGATGTTATTTTATAAAAAGTATTGAATAAATCACCTTAATAATGTTAGTGTCAGGGTTCTTGAAAAACTAGGTAGAGCAGATCACACACTAGAGGTTAAAAACGTAAATTAGAATAAGGGGTGACAAACCAGGGCCCTTTTTAACTCCAGGTAGAGCAATACGGAAATAGTAAGCAGATTTGCTGAGTCCAATGTCCAAAGCTCCAATTGGAGGTCCGGTTGCTCCTTTACAAGCTGTTCCGCTCAAGATCACTGATGCCTTTGAACTACGTGCTAAGTTGTGGAGGGGTACAAGTGGCATTACGCAAGGCCTCTCTAAGTGTGACGAATCTCCTAATTGCAAGGGATTATTATCTTCATGGCGCCTCTTTTTGGGAAATCCTTCAAGCTCAACTTCTTGGGGACTGTCATGACTTACCCCAGTTTTTGCCACCTTCAGATTCTTCTTTGATTTCTTCCAAACGGTTCTCTTCTCATCATTTTCTGATTGTGAGATGTCCATGTTGATGCTATTTAGTGTTTACCCAACTCTTAGTACTCAGGGTTCTTTCATCACATGCAACCATGAGCAAAAACAAAGAGCAGTTAAGTGATTTGGACCAACAATATTCAAATCAACAACAACAAACCCAATAGAATCCCACAAAAAGTAGGGTTTGGGGAAGGTGCGTGCACGTAGACCTTCCGAGGGACCAACATTCAAATCATTGTTGCTTATAACAGTTCTAAAAAATACAATAACTCCAAGAACGAAGCATTTTAGAGAAGGGAATAAAATAAGATGAAACTGCTTCCTTATCCAGAAAAAGAACAGAGAACAAAACGAAAATGTGTACTCCTTCCGTAGTTTCGTCCCACTAAAAAATGCAATTTTTTTCTTCCTATCCCAAATAAAAAAAAAAAAACTCGTCCGTCTTCTAAACATATCTCAACCACACATTTCACATTTCCAAAACTTGATGACATCAAAGAGGAGTTTTTTTGCAGGACAAGGGGGGTGTATAGATAACATACACTCGAGAAAAGCTATGTCCAAACTTTTAGCTTAGGCAGAAAGTATCTATACGAATTACGAGGATATGACTTACCAGAATTCCCAAAGAGTTACTTTCATATCTTGTTTTAGTACATAACAAAATATTGGTCCAGGTCTCCAAAATCTCACAAATGACACACCTTAAGTTTGCCAATATGTGCATCGGTATTGGCGCATGATAATATATTCACCATAGAATCCAAAGATGCATTATACACAGGAATCTTTATAACAAGGCTTTTTAGGTAAAAACAGATTCAGGAATAGCTTCCAACATGACATTACCACAACCCACAATTGGCTATAAAGAAAACAACAGCAACAACCCAGTTGAATCTCACAAAAGTAGGTCTGGAATCGGCTATAAGGAATAGGAGAAAAATTTTGATGTCAGGGATAACACTCGTAATGTACTCCCGTTGTCCCGAAATAAACATTAGTGTGTCATCATAGAGTTTAAGAAAATTATCAAAAAGTAAAAAATGGCAATTGAAATTAATTAGAAGAGAGAAAAATTGAAAGTAGCTGGTGGTTTAAGCAAATAGATATAAAAAAGACTGCATTCGGAATTATAAATATTTTGCATTTTCAACACATTTGATGTTTTGTAAGCCTTTTTTTTCACATGATCGCATTATTTTCACTCTTTAATCTGGCCCAGTACAATATTAGGTGTTGGCTATCAGATAATTAATCAATAAATGCAGTGTAAAAGCAGATGAAACTCAAAACAGTTGAGGGGTTTCTGCATTTGAGGCAGTGAGAAGAAAGGGCATTACCAGACAGAACCTCTGCACAGCACAAGCTCTTCGATTTCAATTATAATCTCTGGACATGAAAATGGTGGAATTGCGTGAAACAGTGTCAGGAGAACGATGAAAACAGTAACCAAAGGGCTTGTGCAATTACCTGATGGAACAATCAAACATGAAACCTCGGATTTAAGATGAGACTCACGCATCCAAATGTGGTCTAATCTAGAGTGTGCAGATTTTACAAAGCGCGGATCAAACCATATTTCATCTTAGATAATTGAAGATGAAAAAGAAGTTCACGTTTCAAAATCTGCTTAGAAATGAGTTAGATTCATGGAATACACTAATAAGAAGTCTCCGAGGAAGAGAAAAAAAATAGAGGAAAACATCATAGGAATGATCCACCTAAAAGAGCCTGGAGATGGTAAAATGGAAAGACAAAATACGAGGAATAAAGAAAAAAACACAGCACAAAGGCCGGTTTTTTCTCACCGTCACGGGCTGATTGAAAATCGACGAACACCTGTTTACCTCTCTGCCCCGCCGTTTAAAGACTTACTGAGTAAAATCCTATAAGTTTTATTACGGAGTAAAATCCTATAAGTTTTAAGCAACGAAAGGATAAGGTTGCATTTTCTTCAACTTATTTTCATTTACTTATTATTTATTTTTATTGAAATCAAATGAGATTCAAGTTTATTAGGATACATATTTGATTTGATTTCAACATAACTATGGAAGATAATTTTGAACCTCTAATTTTAAAAAAAGTTGAAGAAATTAAGATGGCGAGAAGATGTAACAAATTTATTGTCTATAAGGAGCCATGAAAGGGGAAAATAAATAATCATTCCTTCCCACTCAATTTTTTTTTTTTTTGGATTTTACTTTACAAATGTGACTAATTGTATATTAAAATTATATTACGACGTTAAATTTATACTATAAATATATAATACTACCTTAGTTCCAAAAACAAACTCTTCATTAACTTTCTATCATGACACGATAACTATTCCTTCTTCCGCCACAAATTAGATTATACGGAGTAATTTTCTATTTATAAAACAAAACTTTGGATTTGACTTCCACTTAGGCTGAAGGAAGTGTGTGGGGTGGGATGTTGTCGAAGGAGAAAGAAAGAAAGAGGCCACGGGGAAGTCGTTTATGGCAAATGCTGCTCGGTTGGGCCGGTCGGCACATATGCCCCATGGGATGCCATGCGGTCTTACAAATGCGACAATTTCGTGTATTAAAATTGCATTACAACATTAATTCATATTATACTGGGGCGGTAACTTTATAATCCCTCAGTTCCAACACCGAATTCTTCATTAATGTTCCATTATAATGATAAATCTTAGTACTTTACATGTAGTATGATTTTTTTTGTTTAGATAAAAAAAAAGAACTTCATTTTACCATAGTTCTTTTAGGGATGCAGAGTTTTTTTTTTTGTTTTTTTCAAAAATCGTTGCGAAACGAAAGAAGAAAAATTCAAAAAAACAATATCTACTAGCTGTGCAAGCAAATGAACAACAAAGTCCCACCAAACCAACCACAAAGCAAAACTCCTACTAACAAATGAACCACTAACTAACTAACTAACAACCTAGTCAGTCAGTCAGAGTCCTAATGGCAGGGTTGCTAATAATAATAATGATAATAATAATGATAATAATAATGATAATAATAATAATAATAATAATAATAACAATGCTCCTCCTTCCTAGTCGTCATTAATAAGAATCATCATCAATTCATCCTCCTCCTCCTCCTTGTCCTCCTAATGTAATCTCTGTCAGCTTATACTCATACACATACACATAGAGAGGATGCCACTGAGTGCACTCGGTCCTGTCAACCTCTAGCTAGAACTCAGCTAAACTCAACTCACCCCACTCATGTTGCCATTGTCCCATTCCCCGCTACACGTCACCACATTTATTAATTTATAGGTTTGGCTGCTCGAGTGGGACCCGCACAAAGAGACGCCCGTGCAGGCTCACAACAGCTGATGTCTGGAGAGGATCTATTCTTGCAGGTAAGCTCACCACCTGCCAAACATTTCTTACTCTTATTATGTTTATTATCATCATTCAACTATTAAGCTCAAGATAATTCATGATGTCAAGTCAACCATAACAAAAAAGAATAAAGCCATTAACACTTTATGAGTGAAGAAGTTGTGATCTAAAATAAATGGCGGACCTTCTTGAAGGCAGTGATTCCCCATGGGTTGTCGAGCTGCTCAGGCTGACCAGTTATGACCAGACGTCCAGCTGGATCAGATTGAACCCGCACCTGCCACCATCAACACAGCTATGGAAGTCACTGACTATTCTTCTATGTCAGGAGGACTGGAGGAGGAGGAGTACTCATTATAGGGCCATAACTCCCATTTCTATTTTATGCTATACGTAGTATAAAAATCAAATAGAAATGGGATGTGCCTCAACTAGCCAAGGTCCAAGGGCTTGCCAAACTAATCTGCCGTACAACTGTCCAATACGAGGGTGCCAAATCCAAAGCAGAGCTAGGATTCAAACTCCCTGTCCCACAGACAGCCACCATGGCAGGCACTTAAACGGCCCTTGTTCTTTGCCAGTTGAGCAATGCCCTAAGGGGCCAAATGACTATTTTAACATATCTATATCTCTCATACAAACATTCATTTGATTACTGACTTACTTCCCCAGTGATGGGTGAACAATTCTCCCTACATCCAAAAATAAAGGTTCATGTTTGGCTTTTTGGTCATAATTTGTAAACTTTGATCATATAAGTTTGGAAAATAATATATTCAATTATAATGTAAACTTAATATCATTATATATCTCTTAAAATATAGCTTTGAAATTGTTTGATAAAATTTATTTTTTACATAAACAAAGATATTAATGATCAAAGTGTACCAGTGAAGACCGTAAAGAGGCAAATGCGAACCTTGTTTTTGGATGGAGGGAGTATATGGCATATATTAAAATTAAATATGAAGTAATGCAAACATATAAATGGGTGTGTAAACATGGAAGCATTTACTAAAATTAAATCTGAGGAGGAAGCACACACCTCCTCGCGTAAAAGTCCCGGAACAAGGGCATAGACCTCAAAACAGTCCTTCTGTTAAGAAGATGCAAATTCCAGTGAGACCTTCCCATGGGACAAAAATGAAAAAGTGAAAAAGAAACTTACTGCTTCCCGAACATTTATTTTCACCCAGTCAGCAGGTGGTCCAACATCAACTATTGTAGTATCCAACCTGGAATGTAAGAAAAAAACAAACCAACAAAGAATAGAGGCAACTCCACATCAACATCTAAGTGAAAGAGACATGCCATCACTTGGGAGTTAAAGAAATGTGATTTGCAAGGAAAATCACTACGATGCTAACCCCTAGTATGCACATTGTGGGCTAAGAAACTAATTAGTGACAACCTTGTGTGAAGATTATACTCTACGCATAAACTATCACTTACTAAATGTAAACCCAATGGTACCAAACACCGAGGGGGCCTTGACAAGTTGGCAGACCTATTTATCATTTTTAAAAGTTGGTTGCAGTGATCAAATACCAAGAATAAGCTGAACAGTAAGTAACGAGTAGCATGCAGCCTCCAAGAATTAAAATGCACCGCAATGTACAACTTTCATGTAGATGTAGCTAAAGGTGTAGCTAATGCCCAACTGAAAAATTTTATAGTGAATAAAAGAAATTTGACATTCTAGACTAATTCACACCATTGACAAAGAAAAACTTAACTGCCTAGAAGTTTCAGTTCGTGCTGCTTTTACTGGGAGTTCAACTTCATTAGGCCTCTTTTGTTTAAGAGAACCTGCATGTATACCAAAAGCTCAGATTCAAAATACAGATGGGAGAACAAACATAAAATATCTATCATGAAATTAACCCAGTAGAACAAAAATTAAGTCTATAGGCAAAGGTCAAAGACTTCGGTATAATTTGATTTTATGTAGAGACTAATGTAGCAAATGGACTATCAATGTCGCATCTCGTGAATGTGACATTGTTGAATAGGTAAGTAGAAATTTTTCAAAACACAGAATAACTCAAAATAGAAAGGATGGATTATCTAGAGTTCATATCCTCTCTGATTAATGGAGAGGTCTATTAGAAGAAAAACAAAAAATGAAAAATAAGATGTAGGGTTGAGTGTGTCATTTATTATCACTGCCTTGGTGTAGCTAGCAAGAGGCTACTCGTTGCTTATTAGGTCCTGAGTTCCAATTATTAAACAATTCATCTGAGTTAAGTTTATATTCGATGAAATATCTTCCCAATATAATAAAACTTACACTAGAATAATGTAAGATTATATAATCCCAATATAATAATGACTGCATTAGAATAGGTAAGATTATATCTTCCCAATATAATAATGATTACATTAGAATAGGTAAGATTATATCTTCCCAATATAATAATGATTACACTAGAAGATATTAAATAAACTTACCTTAGATGAATTGCTTAATAATTAGAAATCACCACCTAATACGCAATGATTAAGCTCTTTTGGCTACACCAAGGCCAACATTCAGTTCAGATAATAAATGCAAACTGTAGACCACATTGTGAGTTTGTGACTCTCTTGTGCTACTTTTACTTTTTAATATGTAAGGAAATATTGATAAGAGTTGCTCATTAGCTTCAAATATAACATCACTCCATAAAATCAATTAGTTTTCCTCTATAGATAACAAACAAAATGATAACCCTTCTCAATTCCTTCTATATTTCTATCTCTTTTTCTTTCCTACACACTCAACCTCACACCTCCCTTTTCACTTTCTATCTCTCTTCTAATAGACTTATCTATTAACCAAAGAGGATTTGAACTCTAGATAATTCTATCCTTCCTATTTTGAGTTATTCCATGTTTTGAACTTTCTAATGACCTATTCAACATTGTAATAATTCACAAGATGGGACATTGATGGTCCACTTGATACCACAGTCTCTAAATAAACTCAGATTATACTAAAGTCTCATACCTATGCCTATAGACTTGAGTTTTATTTTGGTGCAATCATGACCTAATATAGGCAATGAATAATCCCAAATATTTAAAATGCCTATTGGGTATGACACTCGAGGTAACAAAAACAACAACAAACACGGTAGAGTCCCCCAAAAATGTCCCTAGAGGTAGTAAACCTAAACAATTACTCCCTTTGTCCACTAGTTAACTTCTTGGTTTCTTGGTTTCTATTACAGGCTCTCGATAATTTTTGTTAATTTTTGAGTTTTCATTGATAATTTGATAAAATAAAGTATTATTGTCGCATCTTGTTTTATAGAACTTTTGAAACACTTTTGATATATGTAATTTGTACTTTTTATTTCTACACCAATTTGTAAATAAAATGATTTTAGCACAGATGAGATTTTGTACGTTGTTTGAAACGGGAAGAAGTTAATTTGTGGACAGAAGGAGTAAATTGTGATAAATGCGATTATTGAGATGAAAATTGCAATCGTCAAAACTATACAAGATACTCGCTATGAATAAAGAGTGCAAATAGAGTTTTGCATTATTGTGTATTATATTTGTACTGATTACAAGTTGCCTCTCCCATCAACGTCCTCCAGAGAGTTATTTTTATGATTACATAGCTTATAGTCTTCTCAGCAACCACTGCTACACTGTGGTTATGACTGTCCTTATTGCATCCTCTGAAGCCGCATAACCATCAGAGGTGATAGTATGATATAAAACATGTCCTTTCCGGATATATTCAGTGGATCACATCTCCAGAGACATCCATCGTACTAAGCTAGGAGTTCTTCTTTGGACATTTCTGTGCAAGACCTGTTTATGAGCTTTTGGATCAGCTCATTACTCAATGATATTGGGGTCTGGCCCTTAATCTTGGTTGATGATGCTTTAATCTAGTTATTGGGATTATGGATCTGGCTCATACATACCACTAATGGGTTGGGCTTAAAGCATTGATCGTGAATCCAAAAAACCCATCAGCCCCTATAGTGATGTGGCATATATGCCAGTGTGGCATTTTTGCTGATGTGGCATGACAAATGGAGTGTGGCAACTAGATACATATTTAAGCCAGTAATAAACCATGAGAAGCTAACCTATACTTTTGAGACTCTTTTCACGTTTTGTCGTACTGCTTGGGTTCTTGTCCTATACACAGAAAAGGATAAATAGTAGATGTTATAAGATAATATAAAACGTAGACACTAATAAGATGAGAGAATATAATAACAAATCCAGGACATAGAATATCACAATACCTTTACAATTGGCTCATCACCCTCACTATACTTTATATGACGTTGATCATGCCATCCTTGCATAGCACGGGCAGCAGCATCTCTACGTGCTCTGCCAGATCCAGGAGTTTGATGACCATTACCCTGAACATGTTAAAGATGACTAGTTTGCAGAGCCATTTTTTAGAAGGTGGTGTGGTTCAGCTTATATGAGGCAATATCACAAACATTTAAGCGAATGTAAAGCTTGTCCAAAACAATATTAAAGGGATAAAAAGTTAAAATAAATATTATGATTTTCCCATTTTTATGACAACACTTATTTTTCTTACCTGAAGTTCTTTTTGTATTGCCTCTAGTTTCAAGGTTTGGGATTAGGGCCAAATTGTTGTTGCATTTCAATTTTCCAACTTTAAGGGAGATAGAACGATAGTTTTTACAGTTTGTTCAAGCAGTGTTGCACAATAAACAAGTACTTGCATTCTTTTGTGCTACGGGAAGATCACAAATTAGAGAAAATATGTTGAACTTCCATCAACATATCATATCCTATGCTCTGTTTATAGCTGACTATCAACAAAGGATGGGGTGGAAATACAGCACTAACAAATACCAAGAGAACACTTACCTCATTGTCAACCCCTGAAGGATCAGGGAGAGAGACGATAGAGAACTGAAGCTCACCAGTTTGTGTCTTATGCCGTTCATATTCTAGCAAAGCCTAAATTAGATGAAGGATAAGGCAAGTTGATATATTGAACTACATAACAGCTGAGGAAACTAACATGGCATTGATTTTTATTTAACAAGGAATAGATACATAACATATACACCTGTTACTACTATTCCAATTTAATGCTTAGATTCATATATTAGAATGAATGATGAACTTATAAACATTCTGTGTTTTATATTGAAAAAACAAAAAACGCTAGCAATTCTGCGGTGTAAGTCAAGCTGAAGATATTACCTTCTCATAGAAAATACGAAATGTCCATGACACTGTCGTACAAGTCCTGTTTGACAGTAATTATCACATCAATGAATTTGGACTTGCATGAAAATAAAAAACATGGAGTAAAATTTTAATCATTGAACCATTAATTCATTCTGAAAGAACTAAAATGCCGGAATGGTAGATACTTTTAGTAATTGGAAGGTAAAATACTAATTTGAATGATGATCCACTAATAGTGTAATACAGCTACCCAAAAACTCATAACTCAAAATGGCCAATGTGTAGTCTAATGGAAGATAAGATCAGCATCTGGTTCACAAATGGCGCTTGTCAATTAAAAATGTTTGAATTTATGATTATGTTAAGATATGATAGAAACATTAAATTGGATGGATTTCCAGGGTTGATTCCAGAGTTTGAAGAAGATCTGCAGGGTTCATGGCCCAACATGGAATTCATTTCAAGGTTTCTTCTTTCAATATGACAGAATTGACATACTCCCTCCGTCCCACCATTTTTGGGACATGAGGATGTGGCACAAATTAACAAAAATAAGAATGTTTTGTTGATATTGATGTTAAAAAGTAAAATATAGTAAGAATGAATGTTAACTACACAAATATTGCCATAAGTGGTATGAGACAAAAATAGACGGATTGATAACAAAGGTAAAAAGGGACAAAAATTGTGGGACGGAGGAAGTGTCAGACCATTGTGCAAATAGGGTTGTCCTGACCCTATGTCAAAGAGGTCCCCCTTGACACAACTCAATGATACTTACTTGGGAGGGTTGAAAGACTCGCCCACTTGCCTCCACAACTTTGATCCAGTTACCTTCAAAGTTCAGACACAGTGGCTCAGATTTATAAGGTAAACTTTCAGCAGGTAAAAAATATTCTTCAATTAACTAGGTCAATTGTGAAATAAACCAGAACATACACACGTGCCCAGCAAAACTCAAGCCAATTGAATGTAATCAAGACATCACTCAAGTAAACACTACAAAACCAGTGCTGTGCTAGACGTGGAATCGCCTAAGAGGAGAAAACTTTGAAGGTTTCTTATGCATACTCGGTGCTATAAAGGACAGTAGGCACCATGTGGGTGGCAACAAGCGACCTACTGCCTAGGCGCTGCCTAGAAAGGCCAAGTATTTAGCATGACTTGAATGTATACTTCATGATAAAATACAGTTTTATTAATAATAACAAGTACATTTCAATCGGTACGAAATCTTAAACTAAAATATTGTGAATTAAAGGAGCATCAAATTATTAACAAAACGCTCAACAAAACAAAGCGATCAAATCATCAAATCAAATATCTTACATTTTTTGAAGCAAATGTCCTTTACAGACGAATTACTTTCTGAAACATGAGAAGTGTTTAAATAAAACAGCATCATTTTAGCTAAAATAAAGTTGTAAGAAAGTTGTTGGAGCTGCCTAGACATGGCTAGGCATCACGACTGAGTTGGCTTAAAAAGGGGTTACTTGGACATTGGTAGGTAGCCGTTGTTTAGAACAATATGCATAATACGAAAGATAAATGTGTCCATATGGCTTGGTAAATCACTATTCGGATATAGTTCACCCAAGCAAGTGAAATAAGGATTCACAAACATTGACACAAGTCCCAAAGGAAGAACAAAACCATATCTTAATGCATGCAATATTAAAAGCCAAGCACACTGCTGATGAGAATTCTTACCGTGTCATAGCCACCCAACTTAATTACAGCTCTCCATAATCTAAAACCACAAAACAGAGAGAAACCCATTCATAATTGTATCGCTTGAAAAACATACGAGTATGAATATTTAATGAACCATGTGCCACCAGAGAAATAATTACTTGAGACAATTCAGTGGCTGCCCATAAAACTTAGGAGGTTTAAATTCCAAGGCCCTCTCGCGATAAAAAGCTTCTACTTCCCTCATAAACAATTCTTGATCTTCTATCTCATCAACGTCGACATCCATCTACAAATAAACAAATTCAATGCCAGAGTAAAAAGAGCATATCATTTAAGTTTTCACGTAATACCATGATGAACTTATGATCTAGCTTTTGACACACACATAATCACACGCCCAAAAATAATAACAATCCACGATAGCCAAAGCTACCTCGTGACACTGCAATACATACCTTTACAAAATCAAATTTATTCTTGAAAGTATCGCCACTAACTTGCCCAGATTTTGCAGCTGAATATTTCACCAGTGCATGTGGCGTAACAGGTTCATGCAACATTGTAGGAACAGAATTAACTTTCCCTTCTGTTTCGGAAGTTCCATCTAGTCTAGCCTCTTTATCATCCATGACAACAGCAGAAGCACTTTTATCCTCAGCTTTCGGCTTTTCAACTGTCATCATTTCATTTCCATTTTGTGGAATTTCATTCTCACTTTCATGAGCTTCGTCTTGCATTTCTCCTCTCTTGTCCTCATTTGGGAGGGATTCGTCAAGAGGTTGAGCATTTTCATTGAGTGCTTCCCCCTCTGTATCATCATCGACTGCTTCTGTGTCCATCAAGGCTTCACCTACAGCAAGATTTACATCTTCTTCATTCTGATTTATACAAGACTCTTCCTTTACATCCAAGATAGCATCTTTTGAATCACTTTTATGAATGTTTTGGTCCCCAAGCTCTGTCTCATCCCCAATCTCTCCTTTACCTTCCATCTCGGTGTCATCTGCCTCTGAATTTCCAGAATTTGTTTCATCCACAGCAGCTGCGGGAGGCAATTGTGCTCCCTCGGGTTTAGCCTCGGCATCAACTTTGTTCTCATCCAACCCTTGACCTTTGCTACCTTCGCTGTGTGACTTTGCTTCCACATTGTTCTCATCCATTCCTACACCTAGTTCCATACAGCACATCAAATGAATCAAGGCATTGTATGAACAAACCTAAAGCTCTCTATCATTTTAGTTTGTAGAAAAGCCAGAACAATGCTCGATGCCCACAGATCATGCAGGTCAAGCCAAGAACACGAGCCTTCTGTGTATGGACAGCATGAATTTATAAAAAATAAAAAAAGTAAACCATGAAACCCTAGTTCGGTTAAGGCGGAAGAACAATCACCATGTAATCACGTCTTTTACCTTCCTCTAATGCATTCAAGCCAATTAAAACCTTCAAGGCTGTGAAAACAATGAATTTAGGTAACACTTGTCTCCTTCTTACCAATTCAAGAAATAAACAGGAGGGAATTACGAAAACGAGTGCGGGCAGGAAAAAAACAAACACATGCAACGAGAATGGGAGCAAATACCTCTGCGGGAATGCCGACCAGAGCTCGGATCAGCTAGAATGAGAACAGCAATGGCGTTGGGGGTCTCGTATAGTCGGCGGGTCGAGAGTACCGGCAGAGAAAAACGCCGGGAATGTACGAACGGCGGGTGAGCGGTGCTGGGGAGGAAAACAAAATGGAGTAAATGAAAAGAAAACAGAAAATCTAGGGCGGTCGGCGGGGAGCGGTGGGGGGTGGAAAGGGAAAAAAGATGATGTGAATGGGGGGAGATGAAGCGGACAACGCCGGAACAGAAGAAGCACAGGAACGCCTCTCTCTCTCTCTCTCTCTCTCGCGGCTGCGCTTTCCTTTTTCTTCTTCTTGGTTTGTGGGTGGTGGTTGGGTTCAGATTTCAGAAGAATGGACCCTAGCTATAGAGCTAGATATATGGGCACGGCACAATTCACACACTCTTGTGCGTGCGTAACGTATCCTAATTAATTCCTACATCATATTTTCGTTCTATTTCAATCTAGACAAAGACTCACGCCAAAAATTATATCACAACATTATATCAAATCTATATACTAATATGCTGATGATTTACATTTACATAAAATGTTGACACATTAACAAAAATTTGTACTAATATTTTGCGTCTGTGTGAACTATCACCTTAGCGTTACACTGAATGTATATATGTGGCGTACAAATTGAGATACAAATAGCTTAATCCATCTCAACAATTCCCCCCATCCATATCATCCCAATTGTTAGACCACTCGAAATTCCACATGGGTTTGAGGTGTGGAGTTTCAAACATTTTCTCAAGCTTCAATCTCTCTTTTAATACACTCTTATAAATTTATGGACTATTCTGTTTATGTGGCCCCATTTAAAAATGGGTTAATTTTGGCTTCGGGAGAAGGGTCCTTGTTCATTGTGGCAGAGAAACTTTTCATCAATATGATCTCACATTACATCTGTCGTTTGATCACAACCTTTAAAAAAGAACATATAAAAGTTATCAATGATAGGATGCTCCGAGATGTCGACCCACGCGGACGCCAACAAAACTTCTTCCTCCGGTATCTATTTTTGAATTGACTGTGCTGCCTCGATCATCGGCTTTTTGGTCCTCGATTGTGGCTTGTGACTTCCGGCGTGCACTTTTTTCTGGAACCGACTCTGGGTCTCCTAGATTCACCGACCCCGTTTGGATTTCGAAAAACGTCAGATTATTCCTGTACGTTTGGTAAAGTCACATCGCGTACTCATTAGACGCAAGACCGGTTGGAGAATCGGAAGAAAGATTCATGACAAAATTTAAAAACTAGAGAAAGATATGAAAGAGGATAAAGAAGAGAGAATGAGAATATATCGTGAATATATATATATATATATTTTAAAATGAGAGTATTTATAGTTGAGAAATTTAAAAAAATTAAATTTGGCAACAAACAAAAAAATTGACCGTTGGGGGGGCAACAGCTCCATGGAGGCGTTAAAGGCTCTAATTAAGGAGGTGGCCATTTCCGCTGCCCTTATAACATGGTCCACACACACTTTTCATTCATATCTTACTTTTCATTCATATCTTGGTCACTTTTTTGCAAAATGTTGGTTGCATTTTTTTTGAAAAGCATCTTGTTGTATGACATTATAAATTTTGGATCATATGGATAGGGTTTACAATTTCACACATTGTATATATGGAGTACATTTTAAAATTCAAGTGTCATGCAAATGTTGGGTCAAGTGTTTGAAGTTTTCAAGAAATCTTATTTTGCAAATCGTTCCAAAATTACTTCCGAATAGAGAGTACTTCTCAAGTTCTTTGAAATCAAACAATTAATCCAAAGTAGTGCTTTTCCATATGACATGTGTAATAGGTGCACTATATAATTACTCCCTCCATCCCAAAATATATTACACATTTACCATTATATAGTCTTCTAATAATTTATTTTTGTTTTCATGTTTTTTATTGATCATTTGACCAAATAAATTCATGTAATTTGTAAGAATGTAAGTTCTATTTTCTTGGCTGTATAACAATTTGTAAATAAATATACTTTGTGTACTCTAATTTAAAACGGAGGAAGTATAAATTTTCAAGAGTGTTTCTCTTAAGTCTTGCCCACCCCATCTTTGAAGTGTCAACCCTCTCACGTTGAAGCAACCAAAGGACAAAACTCCTATACAAATTTTGAGCAACTACATTATTATTTCAAGTACTAGAGTAAATATTGCGTACTTTTTTTTTTGAAGGGTCCAAAAGGTCCTCTTATTTTAAAACATAAAAACAATAAATAAATAAATGAAAAAGGGAACCATTCCTCAGACCGCAGCGGACAATCCACTCTCAATTACCTCACAACTCAAAATTACAAGGATCAAAAGACAAGATAGAGATCCCAGGAGTCCTAACAACAGTGCTCAAACACACCAGTCTCATTTGTTTTCCACCTAGTGCAGTAGAAGACACTGGAGGTGCCATAAAATCTCTTCAATAAAGGCCGAGCATTTGCTGCTCATTGTTTAGAAGTTTGTGTTCCCGCCATTTGACATTACTGAGAGAATATTAGTAACAGAAGCCATGGCACTCAAAGCTGCTTTAAGCACATCTTGCGTGCACCCTGGTTTCACGATTGTGCGTACCTGGAGATACAAAAATTTTGAAAACGCGTACACAAGCAAAATGACCATTCACTCCAAATAGGTTCACACTTTTTTACGATTCTCAAGTCTTGCAGATATATGGTGGTAAATTGGAGAAAAGTGGAGAAAAGTTTTTTACTATCCTCAATATATGGTAGTAAATTGGAGAAAAGTTGAGTACCTTATCAAGATATTCCTGCAACTCCTTGATACGGCCCATGTAATCCTGGTCCTCGACACAAAGAGTTAAAGCCTTTGCATCAGCACCTGGGCCATCAAACTGAAGAGGTCCGGGATTCCTGTATACATCATCCAACAAGAACTTTGTGGCATTCTGTCTCAACAGCCTGCACCAAAAAGTGAAGCCCTGTACGTTTAAGAGTCTGTACCACATTGAAATATCTAAGGATATAGCCATGGATTCAGAAAATCTTGTGTTGAACTAACAGATCAATTGAATATATGAGGTGGTAATGGTTTGGAACTTCATGACTCATAATGTTGGTTCACAATACTCTACAAGAACAACAGAGGTGAGAGCCTAGTTTAGAAGGGAGACAAGGTATGGACTGTGGATGTAGTTAAGCAAGGATAATATGAGCTTAGAACATTCTAGACTATGTCATACTTGATGCACAATCTATTTCTTATTCAAATCCTAATTCTACCATCTCTTGGTTGGTTTAAAGTAGGGGAGAGAAGGAAAGAAAAGCAGGGATGGAAGTGGAGGAGTTTGTGGGAAATAAGGTTTTAGAAAATTATTAAAATATGGTATCTAATAGCCTTCGTTGTAATTGAAAAAGTTATACAGATTCCAATATACTCGTATATAATAGTGCAGCATATTAAAACAATAGAGTGAAAAAAGAAAGAAAAAACAATCCTCTTAAATCTCCAAAAGTTATAAATAAGATGAGAGTTACGAGAACATAAATTTTTTTAAGATATTTTATCTTCCACACATTCTGTTTATGTGTCTTCATAAATTTTTTATATTTTACAAACTAATTTAAAAGAGATAATTTCACCCCGATTCCTTAAACTGAGGTATTTTAGAAAGAAAGCAACTAATTTCGAACGAGAAACACCTATCTAGTAGAAATACTAATTTCTGAAATAGATCACAATAAATGAGAAGACCACACTGTTATATGTCTAAAAGAGACTTGGAAAGTACCAAAGTGTTTTAAAGGAAGTTGGAAAGGTGGTTTGAACATGTGAAGCGACATAGCGTTGTGGCCCCAATGCAGAGAAAAAATAAAACATAGAGAGGAAAATTAGAATAAAGCATACTCATATGTTTTCCCTCTTAAATCAACGGTAGCAGGATGAAGAGCAGGTCTTCCGAATGATGATGCAGCAGGACCATGACCATAACGCCTAACCGTCATCATAGCCTGCAGTCACATGACAGTCTTTCAAAACAATAAAAATGCATGAACCAGACATATTGCAGAATTACAGAAACAGAAAAACGATTTGGTAGAGAGTCCCTATCGCCATAAATGTCCTGACAATGTTGCATACAAACTTACAGTTATTGGAGCAGCTCCACAGCGCCACTTATTCACTGGATTCTTCAAGTTAGTTAAAGTTGCCAAGTAACCGTTCAAGCCAGCAGCCAAAATATGGTAACAGACATGACCAAGCACCTAGACATACAATCATTTATTCACTAAGAGTTCAAATACTTGCAAACACAGCAATGAACAGTACTTTCTAGACAAGAAACTCACATAAGCATAGTCACAATCAAACTTTGATGGCAGTGATCCACGAGCTTGATAACCAAAGAAATGACAAATAGCATTGAATTTCTTCCCCTTGTACTTTCCTTCTTTCTGAAAATAATTAGACAGCAAAAATGAAGGCTTGACAAAGTATAAAATAAGACACACCCGCCCCAAAAAAGAGTCATATTAACGTACAACTCCAAAAAGTCATAGAATCCTAAATGCACTCAATAAGAGAGTAATGTTTCACTAAACAACAAATTTTTTATTTTCATATGGTACAATTATGGGAAATCATCAATCATAGCTTAATATTAAAATTAATTCATTGGTTTAATTAATTTACACCAATGAATATATTGAAAATTTTTGGGAGATTTTTCATTAAATACTATAAATATATTGAAAATTAATTTTTTAAGCAATGAGCTTTTTTATGGAGAGAGTATATGTTTAAAAATATTTGTAACTTTTTTAGGGAAACTACATGCAACATTAGTTCTGTTTGATCAAATAGACTCTTTTTGTAGCACACAAAAAATTATGGAAGGGGACTTTGTGTATTTCAAAATGAATGGGAGAAATAAAAGCTATCTAGTCACATTATTCCTTACTGTTCGTTTGTTCATTTCTTCTTCAACTCGAAAAGCTAGAAGTTTCTCGGTCTCAATCTGTGAGAGAAAAAAAATCACCATTAGATGAGACAATCTCAACATACACCAGTACACAGTCAGCAAAGCAGCAAATGAATTACCTGAGATAGCTGAGCCGAGTCATCTGATTCAGGATGCAAGAGAAGCTGTAACATTGCAATGCTATGAAAGTAAGCACTAAAATAATTTTGAATAAAGCTGTGGATACTACATTCTTGAAGACTTATTATTCCTCCGCCTGTAAATTTTCTTTCCATTTGACTTTTATGGTCAACATTTTTTTAATTTTGACAATAATATGTGGAAAAAATACATTGGGTTTTGGTATAAGATTTTTGCAATTCAATAAACATAATTTTGAAATGTAGTTTTATAATTGTATAATATATATAAATATATAAATATAAATAAATAAATAAATATATATAAATATAAACAAATAAATAAATAAATATATATATGTGTGTATATATATATATATATATATATATATATA